AATGTTATTTTTATTATAAAAAAAAAACATTTTGCATTTGAGAAAGAGAAAAAGAATGGAATGCGAAGTAAACAAGATTTTTTCTAGAAAGGCATCTAAAATACAGTTTCGTGTCTTAACATATCTATCTTAATATTCCACATTTTTATCTTCTTATTTACTATGTGTTAATTAAATCCTGTAAGCTGCGCTTAATGTATACTGAATTACTGCTCTTGTGATATCTTTTGTAAGTAAATACGGAATTTTAAATGTTTTTTGTTGTAATCCCAGAACATCATTTGTGGCATTTAGCCGGTATTTGACTTTTACCCTACAATTTTGCATCCCTCGCTCGGTCGCGTCTCTTTCGGCCAATTGAAAGACAGCGACGAAATGACAGGCTACACAAACACGTGCGCGTGGCACGAATTAATTAAAACACAGCAGGGTGAGACGCGGCGTCGGCCGTCGCGTCGGCGCCGACTCACGGTGTTCCGCCTGTGATAAAGGACAGGGAAGCGTCGTTATTAATCCGCGTAAAATTAATGTCTGCTTATAATGAATTTCAACTTCGTTCCGGGAAAGCCACCGTAACGCAGAGGGCTAGTCTGTCTCTCCCTCTGTCTCTCTCTCTCTCTCTCTCTCTTTTCCCCGTCCCTCTCTCTTTCGCTCTCTTTCTCACTCTCGTAACGCCCGAAACGCGGACACTGCATAAATTAAAGATACCTCGGTGTGCTGCCCCGACTTGCAAGAAGTTTTAACGATAGCGCTTTTTTAGGTGCGTTATTACGCCGCTGTTAGATAAGTCAGTATTAAAATAGAGTCCTGCTGCAACGGGGCATGCCTACCCTCTTTCGTCGTTCCTCTATCCACTTCCTCTATGCTTCCTCCCCGCGCATATGTCCATTATGCAGAGCTATCACATTTTATGGTGTGGTTTCATTTCTGGGTCTTAGTATGTTATAACACGCATATTCATCGAGACCCTGTTAAAAATTCTACAATCTCACTTTCCGACGTGAAATATGATGATAAGGAGATGAGACTTCGAGCCTTGTGATTGCGCGGACTACGTTAAACTACATAAAGTTTAATAATGGATCCCGAGGTGACAATGTCTGTATAATTCGCGAAGCGGATTGTGAGATTTCGCGAAAATAAAAATAATGTTATTATAGGCGAATAGAATAATTAAAATTTTAATTTTTGAAAATAATTTGTGAAGCAACAACAAAAAATTGAACAAATTTAACAACTTTAGAAATATTCTACGGAAAGGATATCAACGCGGAAGTTACAGTGAAATTAGCCTGTCATATCCTCAGAAATAGCGCTCTCCGCATTGTCTGGTACAAGAACAACATAACTCGCGCTAACACGGTAATACATAGTCCGCGCGCGAAGGGTGTCTCTTAATGTCGTTTAGAGCAAGAACAAGGTAGTTTCGGGGTTACACTGACTGATAAAGTGGCATTGTCGCGTAAAGTCTCTATCCGTGTGAGATTGTGTATGTCGTACAAAGAAATTCTTAATGTAGATGAAGATTTATGATAAACGTAAAAAACCGACAAATAAATAAGCATATTTAAGAATAAATGCAATATCAAATGTCACATGATATTAATTTTTATTTCAAATTATCTTCCAGCTTCTAATTTTTTAATTGTTTTCTGTATTATCTGTATTTTAATTATTTTTTGTTACTAAAAGATTGTCATATCCTCAAATTCTTTCTTAAGAAAAAAGACTCAAAGATACAAAGAAAAGCTTATCCATAATCTTATTGTTACGAGCTATCTCCAGACGGCGCGAGGCATTGTTATCACAAGAAAGTAAACTATCGATTGTTCAAAATTCTCAATGCAAATTTTAGTACAATTGTTAAATCATCGTAGGCGGAGAGTCTACGATATTCGTAATCGTTCTCCCGAACATACCGAGTTTCGTGAAGAGGCGACGGCTCCGACAGCTATGCAAAGTCGAATCCCGGCGCAATTAATTCTCGAGCCAAATCGAAGCACGATCCTTTCGATGGAATACAATCGCGCTCTCTCGGCCGGCGTCACGACCAAAGATGACTCGTCCAGAGAGAGGTCGTTTATCTCTCTTGAAGCTGATCATATAATTCAACGGTCGAGGCTAGAATACATATCGGAAGCGAGGACGTTATTGTTAGGCGATGGATGCGCGTAGTGAAACGAGAACCGGCGACGATCGGTAAGACGCAAATATCGTTAAACGCGTCCTCGCGATTAAACTACGAAATTAATCGGACATTCACGAGTTTTATGCTCGTTCGATGCATTGACAATCGAGTTACTGTCTTCTCGAGTTGCGGATAACAGCGTAACGTCACATCGTTAACGTAAAACGCGTTCGTTATTCCCCGTTTGTTCGGTGCTCAACTGCGCCGACCCGTTCTATTTTAACGACTTCAATGACAATCACGTGGATGGATAACCCTACGCTCACGTTTTGCTTCGCAAATCGCTATCCGACGCTATTCGATATGCCCACAGAATATCAAGTAAAAGAAACGTGTTTAGAAAAAATTAATATGATGAATAATTGTAATTTTGAAAGAGGAGAGTTAATATTCAAGTAAGATACGTTTGCGTAATTTAAATCACGACATGTAATTTATTTGGAACGGTACAAGGATTAAGCTCATAAGTGCTGTAGCTTCAGAAAATACGGTGGAGTGGAAGAGAATAGCATCGATTTTCGCTCGTAATGCCCTAAAAACCGCACACAATGTGTTACACTGGTGTGCTGTGGGCAGTTCTCTCTTATCTAATCCTCTTAGGGTGATCTCGAAACTCGGATTCGCCTCGGACCTACGTCACCCGTAGCTTGCTTCTGACAGGGCATAACAATTTCCACCAGATGAACATTACCAGTTTACCAGTTTACTTTGCCGGATATATGCAGAATCGAGAAGCAGACCAAGTCCTTCTTCGTCTCTCTTCTCCCCTTCTCCAATTACGGAAGCTCGTGAGGTTTCCGCAGAAAGTTTCGGTTTGCCCGACGTTTCTCGTGCGCGCGTCGCTGGCTAAACTGTTTAGACGTGTCCTAGGACGGGCGAAAACTTCGAAGTGACGTTCGAATTTTGGTACTTACCATGTCGAGTAAAGACATCGAAAGCTCCAAAGGATCGACAGGCCGGCAAAAGGGTAAGAAGATAGACATTGCGGCTGGGTCGCGAGAAGTGAAATATACTTCGTCGTGTGACGGGAAGTTGGAGAATTGAAATGATATATTTATAAAGTAGACGTTTGACATTCTATTGATATTCATAGCTTTCCATTCATAGCTTCGAGAGTGCATGATAAACTATCAATACTTATTAGATTTGCAATATTAATAACTTTATAATTTAATTTTACACGTCAATTAAATATTTTAAAGTTTAAATTGAGTAATTTTAGTCGTTACTTTTTATAATTTAATACGCACACTTTTTGCTCTTGATTCGATAGAGTGACCGGAGCGCAAAGTAGCGCTTGTTACCATCAACTTCTATCAAAGTTTTACACGCATCAATATTTTGCCGTTTTAATCTGAGTATGGAATAAACTCTCATCTCTCTCTCTCTCATTGCTGTCACTCACGGAATATAGTTCTGGCTTTATTCTTATACGCTGAAATTAATATGTATTCGACGTCTTCGTCTTATGAACTGTCTACGGGTTACATTTACGAGACAAGACCGGCACGGGCGTCTGGAATGTTCTAACCTCCACATTTAATCTGGTACTGAAAATTTCAGCTCGTCTCTGCCTAGGAATTCTTGCTCTTAACCTTTTTGCTCTTCACATCCATTCCCGTTCTTCTGACAGCGGCGACGACGACAACGACGACGACGACAACGGCAATGACGACAAAGTTAGATACCGACCTCTACTAGTCGTTACATGTGCATACTTATGTACTCTACGTATACATATAGTTTGCTACGCTTAAAAAATAGAAGAGTCGAGTTTTAGACCTTCTATGTTGCTCAGCAATTTCTCTGTAGTTTTATCTGGTGGAATGAAAACTCGTTTGATTATTAAAATGGGGATCTTAGTTGGTTTATAAAAATCGTTGAATTCTGGTGCAAGCACGTCAAGAGGAGAGAAGATGAAGGAAGGTAAAAAAGCAGAGCAAACTACGAAAGACGTTCTAACAAAGTCTATCTTCCATTATTTGAGCATCTAGCACGATCTACTTCCAATTCTCTGGATCATCCAATCGCGGCACAATTTTCCAAGCTTTGCCGACCCTCGTCACTATTGAAAGCTCCAGCCGAAGGTCGGGGCGATACTTCTTTGTAAAAAGATCCGCGATAGGTCGAGTACTGTGGTACCGTTTTTTTTAATACTTCTATTGTGCGCTTGGCAGTGGGTCAAGAGATTTACCGATTTAAGTGTGAAAGGAAGTCTCGCATTTGAAAATGTTCTCTATTCAAGTCGGGCTACATATCGGTAGCGAGTAATATTGAAGGAGCACTTGTTCGGGAGTTTCTGATCTAACTTGATCTAACAAGTAAACCTTTGCAACAGCTCCTTTATCTATTCTCTTAGAAACTTGGAAATCTAGAACTATAGAATAACTTAAAAGACGAGAGAGAGAGGGAGAGAGAGAGAAAGAAAGAGAGAGAGAGAGAGAGAGAGTGTGATGTATGTGTGTAATGTATTGTTATATATAATTGTAAATTTAACGTAGCGATAAATAGTTTATAATGTTGTCTCGATTCCGATTAAAATTTCGTCTTTTCCCCCAGTTACTCCGTTTAAACTATGCTAAATGCTTATATATATTTAGAACTAAACATCATTTCTTGATGCTTTTATTCCGAAAAAAGTATCTTTTTTATATACCTACTTTTATTATCGGCAATATAATCGAACACTCGAGGAATCGTTGTCGTGCATTTCTGGCGACATCGCATCGATAGCACCCCCAGGCGACGACGTATATACTCGCAATTGACATTTATGCGATCTCACGCGAACTTCTCTCTTTTTCTGTTTCAGTCGCTGCTCTGAAGCTACTTCACATAAATGTTCCGGCGTACACCCTCAGGGGCAGGAGCGCGCTTCTAGAATGCAGGTGAGAATGTTCGCCATAAGCTACGCAAACGTCAACTGCTTTCTGCGTGCGCGAAATAGTTGCAGTGTCAGCAGTAGTGCGTGTAATTCTGTCAGATTATCGTGGCACTTCATCTTATAAATGTAATATGAAGATCTTATCCCCTCGTAACGACATACATGCACTTTGAAAAGGAAGTGGGTTCGAATCTCAGAATAGTATTTCTATATTAGGATACTGTAATTTTTATCAAATTATTAAATAAATGTCGACAATTATTAAATAATTGTCGATTTTATTAAATCAACAATTTTAGATTTAGATTTAATATCCCTTCATATATGACAAATAATTTATTTTATATTTGACATCTTTCTGAATTACCTATAAAGAATATAGACGTCAGTATTAATCACTTTAAAGTTAGTATTAATCAATATTAATTAGTTTAAAGAGAGAATCATATGCGTAATGTATTAATAATAAAAACACGTTATTTTTAATTTATGGCCTTACATATTTAAAAAAAAGAGAAATTCACGTTTTTAAAAAAATTTTAAACAATTATTATTTCTTATTTGATTTCTTTCTCGATAAAGCACTCAATTATGAAAATATCACGGAGAATTTTGTTGTGAAAAGTCAAAACTTTTGCCTGCTTTTGTTCACAAAGCATACGACCGGGTTAAATAGATGCGCACCGCTAAGATGTGTTCTGCGACTTATCGATCGATATACACACTCTTATTTTATATAAGAGAGATAATGCAAGAGAGATAATGCGTATCTCATTGAAACAAGACGCTACTTTACCCTCATTACATAATTTCTGCATTTCTCCTCTCGGCATACCTATTACCTTCCTTTCGCTCCGGCACAGCCTCCCTCATTATTCTCTCCAATTACAACATCCGATTTTACGACGTACCTAACAAAATCTCGTTCGGCGAACTTCGTTAAAAATCTTTAATACCTTTCTTCAAACATTACGTTTAGGATCGTTGAAAATTGAGAAAACAATCTTTTTGGCTGGTGTTGTGTACAGATAATTTATCTCTTATATTATGCGCGCATTTTAAAAGCGTCCTCCGATAAAAATGACGGAGGACGGTGCGTTTTTGTCTTTCTTTTTCGGGACCGGAAGTTCAGAAAAATAGAGAATGAGGGAGAGTATACCGTGGCGCTGGAAGCGTACAGCATGAAGCCAAAATGTATTTCCGTACATTAATTTTACACTATTAATAAAGCAACATATTTTCGTACGTTGGTGAGCCGTGTGTTTTTCATCAAAAGCACAAAAATACGTAACTAGTGAAAAGACCTTTATGAGAAATTTAAATATATTGAAAGGAAAAAAAAGAAACGAGATATATCCTGTTTAATTTATCAAACATAGTAAAACATAGAATAGAATATTTATTGTTTAAAAAAATACAAAAAGATTTCTTAAGATTATTTAACATTCAGCTTTACAATGTTAAAAATAATCGACAGATAACATTAAGAGGAAAGACAAAGTACATGTTACATAGTTGGATTTTAGAACCTCCTTCCAGTTTGCCTGGCCTTCGCAATTTGCATCGGTCATGATTACGTTAGTCTTGCATTCCATAATTTAATTGATTTATTCCATTAATCAAGTTACGCCTACGTAAAGAAGACTTTCGAGGGCTAAATTTATCATTTTTCGAAGTGACCAGTCTGGTAACACGATCTCCTGCAATAGCATGCTCTTGTCGCGGCATAACAACGATAAATGATCGGTAGAGAGTACGGTGGCGTAGGACTCGCTAAATAATTCGCGCGCACGGTATATACGGACCGCACAATAAAACCGAAATATCGCGGCATAATCACTAATGTATACTAACCCAGGCTCCAAGCCAGCGGGCGTGAATTCTCTATATGTATGCACAGCGTGCAGGTAGCGCGGTGTGCGGTGGAACCCGCTGTTCGTTCGTTACAACGCAAATGGTAGATCGTAATGAAGGACTAGACCTCCCAACGGATAGTAGATTTTACACGTGCGCCGAAAGCGAAAAACTATACCATCACTGTTGCATCGACAGCACGGGATACGGGAGCGCGTGCAAATTCCATTTCCATCTGGAATTATTAAGACCGCGAGCGGTAGGTAGTAGTGCCGTAGAGAGGAAGATACGCGAGGAGATCGAACGAAAAATAGAAAAGAAGAGCCGGCGGGATAAACCCGGCGGGAAATGCGGTCACAGAAGAGACAATACAGAAGACGGGACCGTTTCTCGTCGCATTTACTCCGCGAAGGTAAATCGTGTAAGCGGAACTCATAAAAGCATCGGTAAGAAGCGAAGCAATAAAGTACGTATCGAGTTTGCGGTTAATGTTAAAGGAAAACGATAAATAAAATTACAAATAAAAGCGGAGACCACGAGAAGAAGGAAGTGGATAGACGGGTACGGTGATGGGGAGGGAGGGTGGGTTGCGAGATGCAAGTCGGATCGAAGAAATCTCGATACTTTTCGAGTCTCTTCGTAGTTTATTTATTTACTCGCCTACGCGGAGATAGGTCCGTGCGGGGAAACTTCTCGCCCTTTCTCCTGCCGCGCCTTTTCCCTTCCTCATCCACGACTTTCTTCCTGCCGGAAAAAGATGCCCCTCGGTCCCTAACTCGACCGTGAGACTCGTAAACTCTCGCGAGATTTCTCCGCGTAAGTTCTTCACACAGACGTTCTGGACGACTGCCGTACTGCCGTGCGATCGTTTCCTCTAATCTTCCGATCGGAATTCCATCGCCGACGTTGATGGCTGCTGCTACTGCTGCTGTGGCGACGGATCGAAACCGTCAGGAGAGAAAAAGAAAGAGGGGAAAAAGAGAGGAAAAAAAAAACGAAAAGAGAAGAGGGACGCGGAGAACGAAAGAAACAACGAGCCGTTAGTCAGCAAAACTCGTTTCAGCTGAACGATCCGTCATCAAATATGGGAGGAGGAAGAAAGAACGGAGAGGATCAGAAGGAACAGAAGAAAGAAGCGATCGCCCAACGTAGAAAGGGAGCACCTTGAAGGTCTACCAAAGGCCATGGATTTTCCACCCCTTTGCGTGCGCCCGGAATATACGTGACAGATCGATCAGCCCTTCGCAGTATGTATTCGCGACACGAATACATGATGAAACGTGCGACTCATATGGCTTGTGTTGTCTGGTATTCGATAGCTGATTCGCGGTCGGTTAGTTTATTATCATTTTTGTGACAATAGCAAATTGTAACGATAAATACGTTGACGAGAAATCAGATACATCAAAAGGATAAGGTTTAAAATTCTATTTTGAGAATGTTAACATGTTCGTTTGCTTTTTAAATGGCATAATATTTTTGTCTTTTTTTTTTTCATTTCTTATTTTTTATTTCTCGATCCAAGTATTCTTATTTCTTATCTCTTTATTTCTTACATTTTTATACATTCAACTTCTTACTTGTTTATCCGTTAATAAAAATGAATGTATTAATTAAATTAATATATTTTATCCTATAGCGCACAACGATCGATCTTGCCGATCAATAGAGGGTCAACATGGTAACTGAACAGATAAAAGTAAAGTATTATTGTAAAATAACAGCAAATGATTATCACTGTTTTGTGCAATCAAGGTCACGATTTTCTACTATCTACTGTCGATTTATAAGCCTGCGATCTGTCTGTTCCAATACATTCTCACCCTTTCTCGGCCCTTGGGTCGGGACCATCCCGGTTACCCATGCCATCCACTAGATGGATGGTAATTGCATACCCTAAGTTATCACGGAATCGAAGTTTCTTCCGGTAGGAAACGACAAGCTTCACGGAATCTCTATTAGGAAGGCTCGATCGAAGTGCCGCGTGGACGTGTACTACGTACATACCGTTTAGTTTGTGTAAGAGTTGTGTAGTCACCATGTTTAGCTCGCGCACACCAACGTTCGTTTTCACGTAACCGCGGAATCACCTCGAGCGGAGGATAATTAAAGCGTAATTATATACTTGGCGAACGAGAGAAGGGAGGATGGGTGTAATGACGTTTAGTCGACACGTCGTAGATCTAAACGTCGTAATTGATGTGGTACTTAATGATCAAGAATATGATCGGTGCAAGATAGCACTGCAAGATATCACCGCGGAAATGTTGAAAAAAAAAAAAAAAATTACTTGCAGTCAGTATAACAACAAAATATATGATAATGAAAAATGTATTATGATAAAAAATATTTACGATTGTGTTGACAAAAATAGATAGTGTTATTTTTCGTTTTTTTGCAAACAATATTCAATTTTGTATTATTTGTACTAAAATTATTTGAACTAAAATAGTTATTTATTCTCTAACAACAAATGAAAGTATATATCATATAAATGTTTTAATGTTTAATTTAAAAAAAAAATGTTTAATTTAAAAAAAAATCTGTTTTAATTCTGTAAAAATTATCCTCGCCTTTTTTCTTTATATACAATTATAAAAATATAAGTACAAAAAAGTTAAATCTATGATTTATATATATTATTTGAAATCAATGATAAAATAAAATTAAATTTTGACAATTTTCAAATAACAGTCACAAAAAAAATTTGGTGTGAATTGGAGTAGTTCTTAAATACGAGGAACTTTTAAAATAATTTTTTTGGGATCAATTTTAAATGAAAAACTGTCATTTTTCTGACAAAATATATATTGATTGAAAAATATCTCTATTGCTCGTTCATAGTACAGGTTTTTTTTTTCGAAAAAACGACAACTCTTCACTCTAAACTGACACGGAAGATATTGTTATTCAAAAATGTCTCTTGTTCACAACTAGCTCTCTTCTCTCTCTCCCATTTTACGTAGCGAGAAATCATTTTGACGTATTTGCCTTTACGAAATTTGAACAAACGAAATTTATAGGTTTAACACTATAAGATACGATTACCGTCGCTTTGACCTTATATCTAATGCCAAGATATACATCGTCGAACCAACTCCATAAATTCGGCGTCCTAGGGCCTGCCGTGTGTCGCAAGGAGCGAAACGC